TGTGTCTTCACCAGGATCTTGGTGCTGGGTTATATTTCCAGATTTTTGTTTTTAATTTTATATTTTGAGGCAGGGTCATGCTATATCACTAAGTTGCCCAAGCGTGGCTAGAACATGCAATCCTTCTGCCTCAGCTTCTTACAGTGCTGGGGCAACAGCTGTGTTCTTACAGGGAGGGGCTGTGTTTCCATTGCTCCTGGCAGCTGGGATGCAGAGATGATGGCCAGCCTTAGAGCAGCCATATTGGTCCCAAAAGGGCTAGAGTTGATGTTAGTGCAAAAAGACAGAAGGAGCCTGGTTCCCTTGGAAATTGTGGAGCCAACACACTAGCAGGGGAGAGGAATAGACCTTTGTTTTTGGAGCCACTGTTTGTTTAGGATACTGCCACCGGCTGCTGAGCCCAGAGAATCCAGAGCCCAGGCAGCTCTTGCTGGGGTAATTATAGTCACCCCCCAGGGTGCGGGGTAGAGGGGGTGAAGGTCACGGGAAGGGTGTAGGAAGCGGAAGTCAGAGCACGGCATCATGGGAAGGGAAGAGAGATGGGTGCCAGAGGGTCCTCTGAGGGCACCAGTTCCTATCGAAGAGGCCCTAACTCCTGGGCAGAGAATGCAAGTTCTCGGGGTCAGAGCCAGCTCCGCCTGTTGCTGGTCTAGTCGTGGCAGAAGCAGCACACAGGGTCCCCCAGGCGTGAGTACCCCAAAAGTGAGGTACGAAGGCCCACGGGAGCCTGCCCGCTCACTGCACCTGAACTCCACCCCGCTGCAGCTGTGTTACCCCACAAGCACTGACAGGCAACAGAGGAAGCACTCCTGCTTCTGTGATGGATGGGGAAACTGAGGCACAGTTTAATGGGAGCCCAAGCCCCCAAGATAGAGTGGCGTGAACCCCCCAAACAGTGCTTTTCCCATCTGGAAGAATCCCTCCAGAGGATGTGAGCAGGCCGGGCCAGGGAGCAGACAGCCCTCAAGGGCCCCAGGGCCGCTGGAGCCCTGTCTCTGCCAGCCGCGAGGCTGCTGGCGCCTGTCTCCTCTCCAGGTGCTCCCCGCGGCCCGGAGCTGGTGGCCCTGCCCATGCCCTCCCTGGCACCGGCCTGCTCCGCCTCACCCCCCCCC